TACACCTAAAACCAATATAACACTATGTTAACTATACTGGAATAAAAATTAAATAAAAATAGTAATTACTGGCAGTTAAGAGTATCCTTATAACTTTTTTTTTTAATTACGTTTTTATTTATTTTGCACAAAGCAGGGGAGGGGCAGAGAGGGAGAAAATCCCAAGCAGACTCCATACCACCAGCGCAGAACCCCACGCGAGACTTGAACCCACGAACTGCGAGATCATGACCTGAGCCACAGTCGGACACTTCACCGACTCAGCCATCCAGGTTCCTCAAGAGTGTCCTTATAACTTCTAATAAAATACAGAGCAATAGAGGAACCATGATTGTTTTTCATGGGATATACTATTCAAATATTTTAGTAATCTATAAGATTCCTACTAAACTTTATTATTAAGATTTTACTTTTTCTTTAAGAACAGTTTTAGATTCACAGCAAAATTGAGTGGAAAGTACAGAGATTTCCCGTACACTTTCTGCCCTCCAACACGCTTGGCTTCCCCCTTTATCAGCCTTCCCCAACAGAGTGGTTTATGTGTCATGTTCCTACATTGACACATCATAATCACCCAAAGTCCGTAGTTTACATTAGAGTTCACTCTTAGTGTTGTGCATTGTATGGATTTGATCAAGTGTGTAATGACAAATATCCATCATGATGGTATTATACAGAGTATTTTTACCACCTTAAAAATCCTCTGTGCTCTTTGCCTGTTCGTCCCTCCCCAAACCTTAACAACTACTGATCTTTTTACTGTCCCCATCATTTTGCCTTTTTTTGTATGGTTGGAATCATATGTTATGTAGTTTTCTGAGATTTACTAAGCCCTTTTAAAACTGAGATATAATTCACATACTATAAATCCACTCATTTAAAGTGTGCAGTTCAGTGGCATTTAGTGTATTCACACGGTTGTGTAACCATCACCACAGTAGAATCCCAGAGCATTTTGTCTTTCCAAAAATAAATCCTATGTCATTCTCCTAGCCCCTTGAAGCCACTGATATACTTTATGTCTCTGAATTTGCCTATTCTGGACATTTTATCTAAATGGAATCCTACAATATGTGGTCATTTGTGCCTGATTACTAAACGTTTATAATGATGGTTTTAACCTTTTCAAAATATGTTCATATTTAAAAGTAAGTGCTTAACTCCTCTATGAGGTAGACAGGAACTTTGTGATGTAATGGCATTGTCAGATTTATTAGGTGTTCATGACCTCAGTTTACCATAGGATGAGGGAAGGAGATTTAGAGGTGGTAGGGTAGAGATTTAGAAAAGTACTGTAGGGGCGCCTGGGTGGCGCAGTCGGTTAAGCGTCCGACTTCAGCCAGGTCACGATCTCGCGGTCCGTGAGTTCGAGCCCCGCGTCGGGCTCTGGGCTGATGGCTCAGAGCCTGGAGCCTGGAGCCTGTTTCTGATTCTGTGTCTCCCTCTCTCTCTGCCCCTCCCCCGTTCATGCTCTGTCTCTCTCTGTCCCAAAAATAAATAAACGTTGAAAAAAAAAATTAAAAAAAAAAAGAAAAGTACTGTAGAGTTAAAAGAAAAATAGAACATGATGATATATGAAAAATGAGCCCTATGGAATTTCTGGAACCATGAGTATGAAACTTTATCAAAGTACAACTGCAATTAAATACTCCAGTTATATTTAAGTATTTAACATTTGAAGATGAGTTGTTGAGCCTTCAGTAGTTCTAGATTGAATCTCATTTTAGCTGAATTTCAGCAAGGTTGAAAGGATGTCAGGATTGTGCTCTTGGTTATTACAAACTTTTTATTTTTTATTTTTTTATTTTTTATTTTTTATTTTTATTCCAAACTTTTTAAATGGAAGCCTGTTGCTACAGTATGCAGAAGGGGTATGGTAAATTTATTTGTTTTAATAAATGAAAGCAAAAAATAGGAATCTTTTGCCTTTTCTACAATTAACTCTGGTAGAGAACTTTTATATAATGAAAATGTGAAGTATTAATTTTTGAATGTTATAAGTATATTTGAAATTAATGGTTGGTATCATTAAAGGTTAACATTTTTCTGTAAATTTTATGTCAGGTTTTCTGATTACTGTGATTTAGAGATACAAATTAGTGCCATCTTTACAACTGAATTTGTAGTTGTATTTATGTAGAAAAAATCAGTAGGATTACAAATTATAGTAGGTTATCTTGTTACCTACCATGGACGGCTCTGACCTTTTAAAGGAAGACTGGCTAAATTAGTCTTTGGTTCCTGTCTGGCTTTTTGGGTTGAGAACCTGTGCACTGGTCCATGCACTGTCAAGGACCTCTTTTGCCTGGAAACCTAAATGATCTGCCCTGTGCTTCTTTTCCTTGGGTCCCCTACTGTATCCTTCTTGTCTTTATTGGGGATTCTTCCCTCAACAGAAAGTGTCCCCTTATCCCTTCTATAATACTGTTTCTAAGATAAGTAAGTTCTAAAATGAGTTACTGAAAATGACAAGTATTCTTTTCCCCCCCTATTATTATTTTTATTTTTTTTAATTTTATTTTTTATTTTTTAAAACTTATATCCAAATTAGTTAGCATATAGTGAAACAATGATTTCAGGAGTAGATTCCTTAGTGCCCCTTACCCATTTAGCCCATCCTCCCTCCCACAACCCCTCCTGTAACCCTCAGTTTGTTCTCCATATATTTATGAGTCTCTTTTGTTTTGTCTCCCTCCCTGTTTTTATATTATTTTTGTTTCCCTTCCCTTATGTTCATCTGTTTTGTCTCTTGAAGTCCTCATATGAGTGAAGTCATATCATTTTTGTCTTTCTCTGACTAATTTCACTTAGCATAATACCCTCCAGTTCCATCCACGTAGTTGCAAATGGTAAGATTTCATTCTTTTTGATTGCCGAGTAATACTCCGTTGTGTGTATATATATATATACCACATCTTCTTTATCCATTCATCCATTGATGGACATTGGGGCTCTTTCCATACTTTGGCTATTGTTGATAGTGCTGTTATAAAAATGAGAGTGCATGTATCCCTTCGAAACAGCACACCTGTATCCCTTGGATAAATGCCTAGTAGTGCAATTGCTGGGTCATAGGGTAGTTCTATTTTTAGTTTTTTGAGGAACCTCCATACTGTTTTCCAGAGTGGCTGCACCAGCTTGCATTCCCAGACAAGTGTTCTTAGGTTAATAAAACTTTGGCCCTTTTCAGCACTTGTAATCAAATCTTTGTCTTAGAAGTTCCAGTGTCATATTGAGTTGCTTAACTATGACCTTAGAATCCCTTTTCCATTTTATCTTTTCCTTACATCAAATTTTCCTGCTGGGTTGTGGTGGAGGAAATGGGGGCAGAGGGGTAGAAAGAGAGTTATCTGTGTATTCTGGTAAGAAAACCCTTGGACAACCTATGAAGAGAATAGTATTTGCTAAAATAATCTGGGTAGAATTTATGTCTTGGTGTCTTTTTTTTTTTTTTAATGTTTATTTTTATTTTTGAGACAGAGACAGAGCATGAATGGGGGAGGGGCAGAGAGAGAGGGAGACACAGAATCTCAAGCAGGCTCCAGGCTGTCAGCCCAGAGCCCGACGCAGGGCATGAACTCACAAACTGTGAGATCATGACCTGAGCCAAAGTCAGATGCCAACCGACTGAGCCACCCAGGTGCCCCTATGTCTTGGTGTTTTAATTTCTGTGTGTATGAATTGCTATATATAACTAAGATTAGATGAGAATATGCTGATTCCGAAAATAATTGGCAGTGCTCTAGCCATTTAGTTATAAAATTTAAGATCTTGTCAGAGCACATAAAAGCACTTCATAGTTTTTTAGCTTTTATATGTCTAAGTACTTCATAATCAAGCAGTTCTTTTTATGATAGTTTTTAGAAAATACAGTCCCTTAAAAAGCCTATTAGACCTTATTTTGTAAACTCATGTCATTAAGAATGTTTAGTGTTACATAGGTATTCAAATATGGCTTTTATTTACATTGTTTTTCATTAGTGAAGTAATGGCATGTTTGAATATTATTTATGTATTTTATTTTGCAGCTGAATCTGCTTAGGAGTTGGGCATGATTTATGAATATGTGGACATATGTGTAATGCACTGAATATCAGAGGTAGTTTTTTTACATCTATATTTTTATCCCATTTTAATTTTCTAAATATTTTAATTTTTTTAAGTATATATTTTTTAATGTTTACTTATTTGTGAGAGAAAGAGACAGAGTATGAGTGGGAGAGGGGCAGAGAGGGAGGGAGACACAGAATCTGAAGCAGGCTCCAGGCTCTGAGCTGTCAGTATAGAGCCTGATGCAGGGCTTGAACTCACGAGTGGTGAGATCATGACCTGAGCTGAAGTCAGATGCTTAACCGACTGAGCCACCCAGGCGCCCCTCCTGTTTTAATTTTCTTTGGTTATGTGCCTAGAAGTGGGATTCTGCATCATTTGGTGTTTCTGTTTTTAATTTTTTGAGGAACCTCCATAGTGCTTTCCACAGTGGCTGCACTGATTTACATTTCTGCCAGCCGCATACAAGGGTTCTTTTCCCTCCACATCCTTGCCAACACTTGCTATTTCTTTTTTTTAAATTTTATTTAAATCCAAGTTAGTTAACATATAGTGTAATAATGGTTTCAGGAGTAGAATTTAGTGATTCATGATTTACAATAATACCCAGTGCTCATCCCAACAAGTGCTCTCTTTAATACCTATCACCTACTCAGTACCCTTCTAGCAACCGTCAGTTCTCTGTATTTAAGAGTCTCTTCTGGTTAGCTTCCTTCTCTGTTTTTATCTTATTTTTCCTTCCCTTACCCTATGTTCATCAGTTATGTTTCTTAAATTCCACATATGAATGAAATCATGTGCTATTTTTCTTTCTCTGACTTATTTCACTTAGCATAATACATTCTAGTTCCATCCACATGTTGCAAATGTCATGTTGCAAATGACAATATTTCATTCTTTTTTTTTTTGACACCCAAATCTCTTTTATTGGTGGGGGGGGCACTGGGGATGGGCTCGGGGCCTTCTCACTGCACCACTTGTTTGTTGGCGCTGCTTCCTGAGTCCTGTGGCTTCATTACATCGGGCAGCTCGGGTGGACTGGAGAAGGGCTCCATGCGCAGGGCCTTGAAAGCTTCATCTGCCCGGAAGGCCAGCCCCACGGTGGCTGGGGCCTGTGGCCCTGCCGTCTGACTGGTGAAGTCGCACTCTCCCAGTGTCTTGCCATCATCCAGAAGTTGGTCATCCTTGTACAGCTGCTGCTCACCGGGCGGCTGCTTGAGGATGCCCTCGACGGTGCGGTTCAGCTCAAACATGGTACTCGACTCCTTGGCGTCCGTGAAGATGGTGGTCTTGTGGCAAATGATCGTGAGGAACACGTCCATCGCGGCAGCTGCCTGTCCCAGTATTTCATTCTTTTTGATCATCAAGAAATATTCCACTCTCTCTCTATATAACTCATCTTCTTTATCCATTCATCAGTCAATGGACATTTGGACTCTTTCCATGCTTTGGCTGTTGTTGATAGTGCTGCTATAAACATTGGGGTCTGTGTGCCCCTTTGAATCAGCATTTTTGTATCCTTTGGGTAAAGAGAGATTGAGATCTTAAGGGCTTTTTAAGTTCTGGTTGCTTACTTAGAAAGTTATCTTAAACTTGTGATGTTTGGCTGTTAATAACTACTGCTTTATTTTAGCCAGTGATGGGAATGTCTCCTCTTTTCTAGGCATGCCATTTTATTTCTGAGTAGTTCCAACTATGTGAAAATTGTGTCTTGCATCTTTCCCACTCTGCTAACTCAACCATTTATCATAATTTTGTTCTCTAGAAAAAGTCTCTCTTTTTTAAAAATACTCTGTTGTTGTTTGAAGACAGATGTCATGAGTCTCATTATGTCTTATGCTAAGCAAACCCAGTTTTTATTGAATTATTAGTAATGTTACAGCATTCTCCTATCCTTATCACCAAATGGACATATTTTAATCCTTGGCTTTCAAATGATTTTGACTACAGAATACATTTTTTTTTTAAATTGGGGTGGGGGGGGCAGCAGAGGGAGAGAGCAGAGAATCTCAAGTAGGCTGCAGGCTCAATGTGGAGCCCTGTGCAAGGCTCGATCCCACGACCTGGGGATCATTACCTGAGCTGAAATCAAGAGTGAGACGCTCAACCAGTTGAGCCACCCAGGTGTCCCTACAGAATACGTTTTATATCCCAACTCAGTACGCTCATGAATTATATCTACATGTAGTATGTAGTTTTAATACACACATGTAACTGAAACAATTTCATAAGACAGTATATATTGACACTGATATTTTTTGTTATTTTCCTTCTTTTTTTTTTTTTTTTTTTTTTTGTGAGAGAGAGTGCTTGCACATTAGCAGGGTATTGGCAGAGGGAAGGGGTGAGAGAATCTTAGGCAGGCTCCACACCCAGCACAGAACCTGACACGGGGCTTGATCTCACAACTACAAGATCGTGACCTGAGCTGAAATCAACTGATTTCAGCTGAAATCAGTCAGATGTTTAACTGACTGAGCCACTCAGGTGCCCCTGTTCTTTCTCATTTTTCAAAAATGCTGGTTTTATTTCTCATGTAGATTATATTACTCCCTGATGAGTTTCAACCTGTAGTTTGGAAAACACTGTTCTAGTTTGTTCACATTGCAGAATTGAAATAAATATTTCCCAAAAGCTAATGTTAGGCTAATCATTGGTAAAGTAGGTTTTACCTTTATCACCTCAAAGAAAATATTGTGATGGTGGTTATTAAGTAAAACTTAACAGGGTTACCAAGTTCTTCGTAATAAATGTAGTAAAACTAAAATATTTTCAACTTTAATTTTTATTTGTAGGTGGCGACAGACAAGGTTGCAGAAAAGCTGAGTTCTACTCTCTCATGGGTGAAGAACACAGTATCACATACAGTCAGTCAGATGGCCAGTCAGGTGGCAAGTCCATCTGCCTCATTACACACTACATCCTCATCTACCACACTATCCACGCCAGCCCTTTCACCATCTTCCCCTTCACAGTTGAGTCCAGACGACTTAGAACTCCTGGCTAAACTGGAGGAACAAAATAGGTGAGTGAGGTTGCTTGGCTTTTCTCTCTCTGCAGTTATATGAACTCAGCCATTCATTTATGTATATATGCCATAATCAAAATTTACTTTTTTTAGAATGTGTATTTTCTAGTCTTTGGCTCCTTGTTTGTCAAAATTACTTAACAAAAGTATTCACGTCTTTTTTGGAGGAGTTGGTCTTAAAACTAAAGTTGTATTAAAATTTCCTCCTTGCTCAGATAGCTTTAGAGATGTTTTTTGTTAATATAGCAAATTCCCTAAATTGTTAATGAATTTTAGAATTTTGTTAAGGCAAATAAGACTACCATTTTTATTTTTTTAAAGTTTATTTTGAGAGAGAGAGAGAGAGAGAGAGAGAGAGTGTGTGTGTGTGTGTGTGTGTGTGTGTGTGTGTGTGTGTGTGTGTAAGCAGGGAAGGAGCAAAAAGAGGAAGAGACCATATCCCAAACAAGCTCATGCTGTCAGCATAGAGCCCAGCACGGGGCTCGAACTCTCGAACTGTGAGATCATGACCTGAGCCAAGATCAACAGTTAGATGCTTAACCAACTGAACCATCCAGGTGCCCCAAAACTGCCATCTTTGATTTAAACTCTATAAGTAGCCCCTTTGGTTAATTTGTAAAGTAATTTAATTTAGGGTGGATGGTTGATTTATGGTTTAGAGTAGGAAATCTCTTCATTCAGTTTTTTCATAGAAGGCAGTATCTTTTTCTCTTAATGGGCATGAAATAGAATAGTCATTTGTTAGCAATGTATACTCTGGACCCTGTGTGTCCCTTCACTATATTATTATCAGAATCTATTTTGGGCTTCAGATACAAAAGAATCATTGGAAGAGCCCCCTTTTGTGTTCAGTCAAGATGTATACTACCATTGCCTTTAAGAGTAAGAACATAACTTCTAACAGCTTTTTTTCATATATAATTGACATATAAACTACACATATTTGTGTGCAGTTTGATTGGTTTTGACATATGTATATATCTGTGAAATAATCACCAAAGGCAAGAAAACAAACATATCCATTATTCTCCTTTGCATCCCCAGGCAGCCATTGATCTCTTACAGTTATGTAGATTAGTTTGCATTTTCTAGAATTTTATAGAAATGGAATAATAGAGTATGCACTTTTTTTATTGGTGTATTTTACTCAGCATGGTTATTTTGAGATTCATCCATGTTGTAGTGTGTGTGAATAGTTCATTTTTTTACTTGCTTAGTGGTATTGTATAGTATGGATATATGCTAGTTTATTCACTCTTTATTATGAAATGTTGTAAATATTTGTATGCAAACCTTTGTACAGATAGACGAATGCTTCATTTTTCCTGAGCAAATACCTAGAATTGGAATGGCTGGTTTATATGATAGGTGAACATTTAACTGCCAAACTATTTCCAAAGGGCCTATACTTTTTCACATTCCCACCAACAGTATATGAAAATTTCAGTTCCTCTACATCCTTGCCAATACTTGGTATAGTCTTTAATTTTAGCTAACATATACTGGTATCTTGTAGTTTTTTTTGTGTTGTTTTGAAGTTTATTTTTGAGAGAGACCGAGACAGCACTTGCAGGGGAGGGGCAGAGAGAGAGAGGCAGAGAATCCCTTCTCAGCACAGAGGCTGACACAGGGCTCGAACCCACGAACCACTGAGATCATGACCCAAGCTGAAATCAAAGTTGGACGCTCAACTGACTAAGCCACCTAGGCCCCTGGTATCTTGTAGTTTTAATCTGCATTTCCTAATGTTGTTGAACATCTTTTTATGTGCTTATTTGCCATTGATGTATCTTCTTTGATAAAATGTCTGTTTGAATTTTTTGCCTGTTAAAATTAGGTTGTTTGCTTTCTTATTATTGTATTTTAAGAGTTCCTTGAACATTTGGAATATGAATTCTTTTCACATAATATGTTTTGAAATATTTTTTCCTAGTCTGTGGCTTATTCTCTTAACAGTATCTTTTGTTGTAAATTTTGATGAAGTTGTAAATTTTGATTGTCCAGTTTGAAATTGTTCTTTTATGGATTGTCCTTTTGATGACTCAAGGTCACATAGCTTGATGCCTGTATTTTTTTTACAGAAGTTTTTTTTATAAAGTTTTGTTTAGGTCTGATCCCTGTTTATTTTTAGATGTTTTATTTATTTTTGAGACAGAGAGAGACAGAGCATGAGCAGGGGAGGGGCAGAGAGAGAGGGAGACCCAGAATCCGAAGTAGGCTCCAGGCTCTGAGCTGTCAGCACAGACCCTGACGCGGGGCTCGAACTCACAAACCGCGAGATCATGACCTGAGCTGAAGTTGGATGCTCAGCCAGCTGAGCCACTCAGGTGCCCCTAAGTTTATTTTTAGAGAGAGAGAGACAGCATGAGTGGGAGGGGACAGAGAGAGAGAGAGGGTGAGAGAGAGAGAATCCCAAGCAGGCTCTGCATTGTGAGCATAGAGCCTGATGTGGGGCTGGAGCTCACGAACCATGAGATCATGATCTGAGCCTAAATCAGGAGTCTCAACTGACTGAGCCACCCTGGCACCCCTAGATCTCATGAGTTTGGAGTTAGTTTTGTATATGGAGCAAAGTATAGATCAAAATTCATTTTTTGAATATGCATATTTAATTGTTCCTGTACCATTTGTTGAAAAGGCTACCCTTTCTTGACTTAAATATTTTTGCACTTATGTCAAAAATTCGTTGTTCCATTGGTGTGTTTTCTGTCTTAATGCCAATACAGTACAGTTTTGATTACTGTAACTTTATAATACATCTTAAAATGAGATAGTGTTAATCTTCAAACTTAGTTCTCCATTTTGACTATTTTTGGAACTTAACATTCCCATATGAATTTTATTTTATTATATTAATTAATTAATTAATTTTTTTAATGCAAAAGATTTTATTTTTTTTTAAAACCGGGAAGAATATTTTGAAAAAATAACCTATACCATTCCTAAAATACCTAATTTGGAACATTTCTTTTTTTTTTTTTCAATATATGAAATTTATTGTCAGTTGGTTTCCATACAACACCCAGTGCTCATCCCAAAAGGTGCCCTCCTCAATACCCGTCACCCACCCCCCATCAACCCTCAGTTTGTTCTCAGTTTTTATGAGTCTCTTATGCTTTGGCTCTCTCCCACTCTAACCTCTTTTTTTTTTTCTTCCTTCCCCTCCCCCATGGGTTTCTGTTAAGTTTCTCAGGATTCCCATATGAATTTTAAAACAAATTGTTAATTTCCACAAAAACACTTACTGAGGCTTTGATTGAACTGTATTGCCTTATATATCCTACTGCATTGCTAAACTTGTTCTGGTACGTTTTGTTGTTTTTA